CTGCTGGGCTCACCCATCTTCGGTAATAACACTGTCCAGTAACAGGGCCTCCAAAGACAGAACATGAGTCTTTCCATTTAGCTTGTGTGGCTCAGAGCTGTGATATGAGGAATCCAAATGGAGGTTAAGGCAAGTGACTACCTAAAATAAAATAAAAAGACCATTTTAGGCATTCAAGACCGGACATTTCTCTCTGTATGATCCAAAGAAAGGACATGCTATAGAAAGTGTGTACTGTCAGTCATGTGAGAGCCTGCATGAGGCGTGAGGGCAGGTGACTTCCCCCAAAGTTAAATAGACTAGAGAGGCACCCCCAGGGCAGGCCCCAAGCGCCCACATCAGAANCGCCCCAACTGGGGCTGGGGATCGATTGAGCCTGCCGCCGAGGTACATACCCTTGGCCGGAATTGAACCCGGGACCCTTCAGTCTGCGGTTCGACACTCTAACCACTGAGCCAAACCACCTGGGGCATTACTCTCTACTCTTCACGGTGCTGGAGCGGCCTCTCGTCCTTCTAGAAATGACACTGCGTCTGAGGTCCATCTGTGACTCGAGGGCGTTCTAGGCTGAACTCACTTGAGTACAGTGTCTCTGTGGTTCCAACAAGCCCATGTGGCCTGGTGGCTTGGATTGCTAGGCTTCATTTAGACAATAATTTAGCACATTAATCTATTTCCCCCTTCTCATTAAGATCATCTAAAAGCTGTAAAAAGGTTCTAAGCATTTCACATTAGTATGCAAAGCAGTTCACCTTATTTAAATGTAAAATATGATGTCTAACAGCTGTCATATCCTTAAATAGCTGTGCAAAGTGCAGCTCTGCACAGTGTTCTGAGGCCACTGTGATTCAGAATTCGGAGGTCACAGGCTGGCAACGGACAGACCCTCAAGGTCGACAGGTCCGATGACCACGAAGACAGGACCACTGCCTCTCAATCTGTTCTTGCCCACACTCATCAGTGGGAGCTCGTGTACAAGGCTCTGGTCCTCTGGTTCCTGACTTTGGCTGCACAACCTGGCCCCTGAGCCAAGGAGTTGGCCAAATGCCCAGCCCCTGGGGAGGAGGCCATGTATTTAAAAAAGCTGTCAAAGTTTGCTTTACACCAGCTGCTGGGCTCACCCATCTTCGGTAATAACACTGTCCAGTAACAGGGCCTCCAAAGACAGAACATGAGTCTTTCCATTTAGCTTGTGTGGCTCAGAGCTGTGATATGAGGAATCCAAATGGAGGTTAAGGCAAGTGACTACCTAAAATAAAATAAAAAGACCATTTTAGGCATTCAAGACCGGACATTTCTCTCTGTATGATCCAAAGAAAGGACATGCTATAGAAAGTGTGTACTGTCAGTCATGTGAGAGCCTGCATGAGGCGTGAGGGCAGGTGACTTCCCCCAAAGTTAAATAGACTAGAGAGGCACCCCCAGGGCAGGCCCCAAGCGCCCACATCAGAATCTTCAGGGAGCAGCTGATGCCCCGGAGCCCTCCACATCGGAATGGGCGGGGGGGCATTTGCTCACGGCTGGAACTACAACCCCCAGGTCTGAGTGAGCTGTTGAGAACGGCAATAGCCAGCTTCCTCACAGCAGTGGGGATACCGCCTGTTAAGAAGAGGATCTCAGGCACTGAGTGTTTGCACCCCCAAATTCGCGTGGAAATCTAATCGCCAGTGGGATGGTATGAGGTGGGCCTTTGGGAGGTGTCCGGTGGAGCCCTCACCAATGGGACCAGTACCTTAGAAGAGGCCAGAGAGCTAGCTAGCTGGCTCTTCCCACCACGTTGGACGTCTGCAGCGTGCGAGAGGTTTTCCGCCAGAGCCAGACTGTGCTGGCACCTGATCCTGGACCTCCACCTCCAAGACAGGGCAAAAGTTTCCTAGGTGTCAGTTGCCTAATTCAACCTTTACCCAATACTTAATGGCCGCTGTTGCCAGCTCAGGCTGAGAAACCTAAGGACGTCCTCACAGGAATCATGGAGGGTGTTCCACCCACCCCTTGCCAAAAACGTTACTCCTCCAAGAGGATTGTTTGTAGGGATGTGATGCGGATCTGTCACCTACCCGAGGTAAGTAGTTAGGTGAGTGCTTTGNCTCCACCCACCCCTCGCCAAAAACATTTCTCCTCCAAGAGGATTGTTTGTAGGGATGTGATGCGGATCTGTCACCTACCCGAGGTAAGTAGTTAGGTAAGTGCTTTGTAAGGCCTGGCATGGCTTTCGGGCCTGGGCTTCCAATGAAAGAGGGGCCACACATTTAGAGTAAGTTTCTTGAAGCAACNCCCGAGGTAAGTAGTTAGGTGAGTGCTTTGTAAGGCCTGGCATGGCTTTCGGGCCTGGGCTTCCAATGAAAGAGGGGCCACACATTTAGAGTAAGTTTCTTGAAGCAACACCTCTTTATATACTTGAAGAGTCTAATTTCTAAAAAGGAGGGTGGTTTGGCTCTGAGACTGCAAGGCAAGGACCACGCTGCGGGTCTGGTGGGACCGGAGCTCTGCGTTGGGGCCCCCGAGGAAGCCGTGGAGAAGAGGCCCCCATGAGTTCCAAGAAATGAGCAAGGTCAAGGAGGTTCCGTGCCACACGGGAGGCCTGGCCGGCAGGGACACCACCTGCACAGCGTGTAACAAGTTCATCAGGGGCTCCACCCAGCGAATCCTCACACAACCCTGGAGCTACGTAGATGGGAGAGTAGCCCCATTTCCTTGTGAGCAAACGTCCAGAGAAGCTGAATCACTTGCCGGAAGACACAGGGCTAAGGACAACTGGGCACTGCCACGCCTGGGCAGGAGCTGTGACATCTGGATGAGGGGCACTGCTCACGGGACAGCAGCTGGCACCGGGCAGGGCATTAGTGAAATGACCGTATCACTTACACTAATCATACACTAACAACAAATACAAATGAACAATGCTGGCTCCTAGTGAGAGAACGGCCAACACTCTACTCATGTTTATTGGAAAGTGATAATTTAAAAGAATTCTTTCAAGCTTTTCTATCCTCTCAGTTCTGAACTTTGGTCTTAAGAAATTATTCTGGCATAAGGCATAGAAATGGCACAAAAGTAAATTATAAACCTTTTTAAGCGCATAGAAACCAAAGACAAGCTTGTACTATTACCAAAAATGTTTTTTGGGAAATGTTTCAGTGGATACAGATTCTAATTAAGATTTCAGTTTGTGCTGTCCTTTGGGAAAAAGTACAGACAGTTTTCAGCTCCCCAGAAATACAACTTTAATGACACTGGGCACAAGCAACGTGCGAAGGGCTGTGATTCGGGGGCTGCCCATGAAAATGAGGGCCCAGTTAGTGCAGGTAAGTGAGCAGTCACACAACGAAGAGATGCCTGACCTTTAATATCCTTTGCTGTCTGTGCAGAGGCGAGAGAACAGAAAACAAGACTCGTCCAGAAATCTCTGGACATGCAGGAAGGTGATGGCATCGGAGCCACCTGGGCAGAGCAGGCAGTCCACACTCCAAACCACACGGGGCCCTTGCCCGACACCTCCCGCCTCCACTCCACCGACAGCTTCCCCCCAGTCGGCCCTCGCTGCTCCACCTGGAGCAGGAGGCCCAGGGCACGGCATCCTTCACGAAGAGTAATTCTGATCTACCCCAGGGGCTGGAGGGCTCGCTCACGGCAGCCTGGGGCAAGGCTGAAAATAACTGTGAGTCACAACTATGAGCCTTAGAGAAGTTCCTGCAGCCAAACACGCATCCCTCCTGTGCCGTTTGCTTCTCCCTGAATCGCTCTGTGCAAACTCGAAGTCGACGGGGTCCAGACACTCGCCCTCCAGAGCAGCGCTTTCCAGCCCTCCTCATGTCAGGCACACATGAACTCACTACTAAAATTCGGCAGCACACCAAACAATATATTACTTATTTTGCCAATCTGGCGTAAGAAAGATATAGTTTGGATTGATTCACAAAAAATAATAGTAATTACCTCTTTTTGCCCCAAAGTGACTTTTAAAAAAAATCAGGTGCCATACTTGTATATAAGGATTTCTGGTACCAGGAATTAACCAATCAGATGCAACCCTCTTATGCGACGTGATCAATATGATGCAGCTCTACTATGACTTATATATTTATGGTTCAAGACAGGGCACTCACACAGGGTGGCTACTGTTGTGGTGGCTGTTGTCATTTTTTTATCGGACAATCTAAGGGAAAAAAGGTCAGTGCCTCTGACTAAGTAGTCGGGTATTGCACGTTTTAAAAATCCTTGTGGCTCACCAGTGTGCCGCGGCACAGCGGTTGAAAATCGCTGATCTAGAGGGTTCCAGCTTAAGGTCAAAATGGAACGCCCGACAGTGAGACTGAAGGAGGGAGGAGTTATTTCTTCCATGGCGAAGGTAGAGAACCAATGCATTTTGTCTAAGGCCAGGACCCTCGCTCAATGCCTTTTCTCCTGGACGGCCCCCTAGGCTGGGCTTGGAAGAGCGTGGACATCTCTGGGTTTGCAACCCTGCCCTACCGTGTGCCAGCCACATGCCCTTGGCATTTACTTTGTGCCTCATTTTCCCCATCTGTATAATGGGGATAACAGCAGCACCCACCTCCCTGGGTTGTGATGAGGAATTAATGAGGATCCCATGTCTGGCACAGACACCGTAATAGGCCCGAGGGCGCCAACCCCGTGCTCTGTGACTGTAGTCCCCGTGCCCGGCACCCTGTGACTGCCTGAGAAATGCTTCCTGACCTAGTGAATGAAGTGAGACACGAGTGAAGAGGGAAGCTAGAGGCGAGGGGTTCAGCTGATGACAGTTTGCTGAAACGCTTTTTACAAAGTTAACACCACGCCTGAGGTTCTTGTTTCTCTTGGAGTTTCACTAACTAAAACAGATTATTTCAATATATAGAAGTGTGGAGGCAGAGAGAGAAAGCAGGCTGTAATAACTGCGTGCAACTCCTCCTAGGACTGTTTCCCTTTAGAGTCCAGTAAATTCTGCCGGCGCCGCTCTCCGGTCACCGCGTCAGAGTTTCCCCAAAGATACACACGCACAGTCTTGTTGTAATACTTTTTTTATTACAATATCCAAAAAACCGAGTATGCAAGTTTAGGAGGTCTCAAGACCCCTTCTTCGACTGTAGGAATGTGCCATCTCAAGATAGTATATTTAAACTATAAAGAAATTCAAATGTAAAGAAGAAAGAAAACATAAACATTCTGTGTGTCTCTTACTACCAATTACATATTCTTTTGTAAACCCTGAAAAACTTCCCTGTAAAGCAAATTATATATATATATATATAAAATATATATATATTTTGTGTGTGTGTGTAAAGTGTTGGTAGCTCCCCTTCCCCAAAGATCAGCTGTTTTCCTTAATCATCTGTATTAGTGTCAACAAATGGCTACAGATACATATTACTCTGAGAATTAAATACATAATTGTGAATTTAAACAAGCCAAAGGGCAAGAGGAAAAAGCACTATGTGGATGGCACATTTAGGGGTAAATTACCAAAACGTCTCTTTCCGAGTCGCCAGTCCCTCTTGCAGACTGACCTTCCAGGAAATCCTCCTATTGCGAACACAGCCCCGAAGGCACTGGACAGCTTCCTCACTCCTGTCTCACCTGGTGGCTCCAGTATTGCTACGAGCAAACGCGTTCACTCCCTGGAGGGTCCAGGAGCCAGGTAAGGGCTAAGGGCAGGAACCAGGGCTGCTGGGACCGGGGCCGGGACCTCCACCCGAGCTGCCTGGATGCAGAGCCCAGCGTCTCGGGGAGGCCCCTGGGGAGGGCACTGAGGTCACTTCACCAAGGGGCGCCCAGTGTCTTCGTACTGAGGGGTGCTGAGAGCATGAACAGGTCGAACAGACTAAGGCTGTTTCCAACTGAGCAGAAATAAAGTGAACAAACTCGCCCCTCCTCCACCTCCTGTTCTCTAAAACCCGCTTGGGCGGGGCGGCCTTGAACATGGAGTGAGGGCCTGGGACGGCAGAGAGGAGGCAGGTGGAAACGAAAAGATCAACCAGGCACAGGCAGCCAGCGGGGGACAAGCCGCCGGGTGCAGAGGCCACCCGCTCGCGCTGGGGAGTGAGTGTGGCACGGGCCTGGAGGCGGTGGCGGGGGCGTCACTGGAGGGCCCGGACGAGGTAGAGCTTCTCCCCGTGCTCGCTGGTGAAGATGGGGGCCTTCTTGTAGTGCTCCACCAACTCGTCCATGGTGTGAAACCGCCGCTGCCCGATGCAGTAGACATTGTCCACGAGCTGCACCTTGAAATGTTTGTTCTTCCCTGACGCTTTGAGGGACACGGAGAAGTCGCTGGGCTGGGGAGGAAAACAGAACACGCGTTACGAAGGGCCGCGGGCCAGGGCCTCGCCACCGGGGTCTCGCCACCCCAACCCGTCCCTTAGCCGGCTGCGAACCGCTGCGCGGCCCAATCGCCAGGTCTCTGCTCTAGTATCTGATCACAGGCCATGAGAAGGACGGCGTCGGACGTTCGGAGGGACCCAGAGCCGGCCCAAGGCGCTGGTGTTCCGAAAAGGAAAAAAATGAAATTTTGCTTTGTGGTTTCCGTGCTGAATGTATTTAGTTGTTTCAAAATCAGAGACTCGGGATGGAATATATGGCGCCAGTGTTAGCCTGGATGCTGCAGGAACCTGGATTTTTCACTTCCCAAGCTCCTTTCAGAAACTGGGAACTTAAAAAAAGGACTTGTACGCAGGCAGCAGCTAAAAGTTTTTCTTCTCCTGACTTCTACCACTACTGGACATTCGCTATCAAAATTTTTCTAATTCTGAGCTATTTAAAAAGAAAGGCGTTGAGAGCAGTGGAAAATTCTGGCTGCAGCGTAAACCTGGTTCGTGAAGTCCCAGGGGGACTGCACGTGGCTCAAAGCACAGGTTTAGCTAAGAAATGTTTAAATCTGTGATTATGTCAGTCGTGACTTATATTTGAATATATTTTAAAGGAGCATTATTTTTATTAAGATTGGTCTTTTATCTCATTTATTGAAAAACATGCAGAGAAGACACTCAATGCGAAATGTTCTCTAAGGAAAAAAGTACTGATTAATTCGATAAAGAACAATCATTTATTGGATACAAACTATGCAGCAGACAGGTCGTGCCCTGGTGATGTGTGTGTGTGTATACGTGCATCTGTGTGTGCATGCGTGTACTGGCAGTGTGTACGTGTGTGTGTGTGTACCATGCACAGTACATGTGCTCCATATGTACCACAGAAGCGACCATCCAGCAGGGGAGACAGATAAATAAAAGTAAAACAGTTGATTACGTAGTTGCACACCATGGCGGGTTCTATGAAGAGAAAGGAGAGCGACTGGGGCAGGGTAGGCTAATTTAAATATGATTGATGGGGGGTCAGGAAAGGCTTCTGAAGAACTGCAGAGGAGCCTGAGCTATGCGGGGTGGGGGTGGGGGTGCTGCTGGGAGAGGGCTGGGAAGTGGGGCATCCGATGAAGACAGGGAGGCGGAGGCGGAGGTGGAGGGATGCTGGCCTCCCTCCTTGGGCACAGAATAAAACCCCGAGGCCCATCACGGCCACACCGTGGCTGCGTCACCTGGCTCCTGCCTACAGTGAGGTCCAATCATGGAGATGAAAGCCTGTGCCACCCAGTCCCATTTTCACTCCAGTTCATTTGTTTTTTGAGCTCTTACTTCCCCCACCCCAGCTGACAGTTCCCAAAAGGCTCACACCCATGTCCTGTGGCCTGCGCTCTGCATCCCGCCAGGGAGGGCCACACCTCTTCCACTGCTGTATTCCAGAGAGCCCTGGGGGGGGGGGGG